CCGTTTCTCTCTCTCTCTCTCTCTCTCTCTCTCTCTCTCTCTCTCTCTCTCTCTCTCTCTCTCTCTCTCTCTCTTCCCAACCGCTTCCGGAATACAACCATATTTATTTATGAAGAAAGATCCCCTTTCCAACACTCTCCCCCTCCCTCCCTCCAGCATAAACTTACAAGACAAAACGTATTGTATTAAATATTTATCTCTTCTGCCAAGCTACATCTCCAACAGACAGATGTAGGCCCCAGTCTTGGAACCACCTCCAAAAGGCACCTTCAGGGCGTTACAATCTACAAGAAGGAATATACCATCAGCTCTATGTCACACTTTCACCCCAAATGTAGCCGATGCAGACTTTTGCATCAGAGGGCACCTTCAGCCGATCTAGGCCCATAGAACACCCTCCTGTCACCCTCCTGTCCCCCTCCTCTCCCCTTCATCCCCCCTCCTCTCCCCCTCCTCTCTCCCTCCTAATCTCCGCCTTCGCTTCCCACTAATCTCCTCCTCTCCCTCCCCCCTCCTCCCCACCTCATCATATCCTCTTTTCCTCTTCTCCCCTTCCTTTTCCCTTCCCCATCAAACTTTATGCAACACCCCTCCGTACCCTACCCATCTTTTCTTTTTAACCTCCTTACTCATTCTTTTCTACTCACGTGCAGTTTCTGTTCTTATCTGTAAACCCCCCCCCCCAGGTTTTCCCACGTGCATTCATCCTTCCCAGACCTTGTTCCAGTATCGGGAGGAAAGTTTTTGGGGACCTGTTCAATGTCTGGCCCCGACACCCTTTCCCGCGCCAACTTTTCTACAGACAGGAGCTAGGGGATAATTTTATTGATAATCTGAACTTTTCTATAAGATGAATACTTTCTCTCTCTCTCTCTCTCTCTCTCTCTCTCTCTCTCTCTCTCTCACACACACACACATACACTCACTCGCACGAACATATACACACAGATACACATACATACACATTCATTCACACGCACATATACACATAAACACGCACACACACATACACACAAACGCACACACACACTCACACACACACACACACACTCACACACACACACACACACACAC